GCCCCTATCACTGGTAGTGGGTCCACTTTGGATGTCTCGAGTAGTTCAACACAGCTAGAAACCCAGTTAGACTGTCCCTGGGTTGAAATTACTGCACCTTTCAATCATTCAGTCATAGATAAAAAAAAAGAGCCAGGAAAACCTACAGGAGTGGTTTAGTTCCTTCAGTGTTAACGATCCTTCACAATAGAAAGATGTAGCTCTCCCCTCCACGCCCCCATTAGTCCATTTTAGGCTACTTTTTTCAAGCACATGAACAAGGTTTTGTTTCTACAATTATTTTTAAAAAGGGTCACAAATGAAAAAAAAGGCTCTGAACTAAAGAGTTAAAAGAAACATACAGAAACAGTGCTCCTCCCAATTCTGACCTGCATTCAGCTCTACAGATATAATAAGCTCACCTGGGCCAGGGCGAGAGACTAACCCATGCAAATGCTTTGCCTTTTTCTGGGAGGGGAGGGGGAGAGAGGGGAGAAGGAGGGGGAAATGCCTTGATCAAGTTTAAAACTTAGCAAAAGAATCTGTAATGAAAGGGGCAGCGTACTATTGTGTATGGGATATTTTGGTCACTCCTTTTAATGCAATTGCTGGATTAAAAAGCAGTACATAGGCAAAGCTGAGGCCAATAATCTTGAACACACACATTGGGGAATGGCAACAGAAAAGGAAGTTACAGTATTATATGAGATGTGAATGCTACTTTCAGAAGGACAGACTGCCTCCCTTCCCCCGCCTTAAAGAAAGCTGGAGGAAGGAGTTTCCCTAGAGTTTGCACTGGTAGTATTGGAATTTAAGAAAAGCCTTACACAAGCAGTTCAACCTTGGCGTCATGACAAGTGGTAGGGAGCCAGCCGAAATACCAGTGATTATTTTTGTAGCAGAGTAGGGTATAGGAAAATGATCTGGAGGTTCCCAAGAATGCTGTATAATACTTGGTAAAATGGCTGACAAAAGTATATTGTGGCAGCTACTTTTGCCAACAAGAACTTGTCTTATTAGAAGAGATAAAGGTTTTCCATAAAACCATGTTGTTTGGCAGCAATTATGCTGCCATCCATAATGCTTTAACTGAATGGATCCCATATTGACCTTCTATAATTCTACCTATGACCAATGTCCAGATAAATGACCTTTAGTTACCTAGACAGTCCCAGATGCTAGATACTGAAGCCTTAGATGTACCCCTAATGTTCAAGCACTTGTTCTACTGGACCACCCTACCGGTGTTATGTTTGCATCAGAAGAAGTTGTCTATTCCCCGAAGCATATTACCTAAAACCTGCAAACCAAAGGAAGAACGTGACCGTTTGAAAAGTTTCCTCAGAAATGATGGCCTTTTCATTACAGAGCTGAAAAGTATACGTGCCACATGTACTCAGTCTTGCAACCAATGAATTTGCAAAAATGTCTCCCACAAGCCACATCTCCAATAGGCTCATTAGGCATTTTATCAGAAACTTATCTGCTTGACTTTTCCAGACAAATTCAGGTTTAAGGTTTAGCATAAAAATGAAATGTGAACTTTTCTGTAACACTATGTGATTTTTGACCTTGTCATGGAAGTCTCTCCTTCTGCCTATTATTGGCATTAACAGGATCTGACAATTCTTCAGCTGAAGATAAGCAAAACTGTTAATTACAACAGGTTTCCTTGCTAGTTATCCTGTCTGCAGATTCGTTTCTTCTCATTTACTGAGGCTCTGAAGATGTAAACTGATGGCACTTGTGCTGCAAACTGCATTGCTAGTTGCTGCACAGACAGAAGCAATGGTAGGAAGAATAAATATTAAAGATAGTCAGGAGATACAGACCATGAAGGGTCTGGGAGTAAATAAAGACTTGTCTTGACATGGAAATGTGTCCCACAGTTATACTAGTAAAGCTCCTGAAACTAATACAAAATAATCAATGTTTACCCAACAAACAACAGAAATAGATTTCCAGGAACACACTGGAAATAGAGGTTGGATGTGTGTTGACTTGACTCCTGCCCCAGTGCAGTTTGTTTACACAGGAGATGGACAAGTTTCTCAACTTGTATCTAGTAAGAGTTCATGTAGAAAACTTCAAACCTGCCCAAACTACTGAGTGACAGTAAATTTTTACATTTCCATTTGATACTTGTACAGAACCTTTACATACCATGTGGAAAGGGTTTAAAACAGGGCTATATTAAACAAACTGTGGGTACAGTTTTCTTTAAAAATGCCTTGCCATGCTGAAGCCCCAAAATGCAGCTGTTATCCTCAGGATTTCAGGGTAAATGACAGCAAAGGAAAAAAGGCCCTGCCAAGCAACCACTGCATGCTTGTTATGTACAGTTTAAACCAGAGGTGTCAAACATACTGTCTTGTAGGTTGGATCTGGCTTGGAGGTGGGTAATCCTGCCCACAGGGATTTTTGCAGGCTGGACCACCAACCTTCACAGGCCAGATCCCAGAGCAGCAGTGATGATAATCTTGGGGGCTGCTGGAGCTGCTGTTTCAGTGCAGCTCCAAAACCCCAGAAGTTACCACTACTTGTTTCCTCCCCACCAAAAATCAGGTGTTTTAGTTGCTCCTGGTGACTAAAATGGATTACAGGGGAAAAGGGGGTGGAGCAGGGGGGCAGTAGCAATTTTAACTCCCTGTTTGACAACCACAGGATTAAAGCTGCCACTCATCAGGTCATTTGGCCCATAGGGAATCCCATAGTTTGGATTTGACCTATGGGGCCAAATAAGTTTGACACCCCTGCCTTAAACCAACTTTATTTATTTTTTTTTAAACACAACATGGTGATTATTAAAAAAAAATAAATAAAAAAAATCAAAGCAAGACCTAGTTTGACAACAATGTTGGGAAGTATCTGAAAATATTTTCATTACAGTATATAAAAAAGGAAAATCCTTAACCCTGATTTTGGGACCCAAAAACTGAAAATCACCCCAAAGACAAAATTTAACAAAATCTTGATAAAAAGAAGCCCTACTTGTGTCACATACAAAGCTAAGTAAAAAAAGGCCACTGTTATTGTAAGTAAGAATGTCTACATACCAAGCTAAAATTGGTATGGATACACATTAATAACTATATCAGCATATTAATGCTGGTAAATTTCCCTGTATTATGCAAAAACCAAGGGACTCAGCCTCTTGCTGCTAAGAGAATGAAACGTAGGATGCTGTAATTGTTACTGTAAAACTCAAGTATGAAACTAAGATATTATCTGAAGGCTAGTTCTGACTGGCTTATCTGAGGTGATGCCTCAACTGCAAAATTAATCAACTTTCTACTGGAGGAGGACTTCTGTATGACTATCACCAAGTGAGATCCAGGCACCTTGGGGCACATTTCAGAAGTGTTTACTACTGACACTTGGTGCTAATTTTGAGGATAACTGCACCCAGCAGCAACCACTGAGTACAATGAGACTTACTATAGTTAGTTTGAAAATCTGGCCCCTTGACTTCAAACAGATAAAGGCCTGAAAATGTCAGTAACTCAATGACACGGAAATAATTGTATGCCAACTGTCCAAATACCATCTTGCAGAGACCCAGCAAGACCCTACTGTATCAAGCGGGAGCAATCACCTTGCTTTCAAGCATCTAACATTCTTCTTGGCCCTCAACTGTTTCATATTGGTTGTGCTTCTCAACAGAAGTCTCAAGCAAAAGTACTCAATAATGGCACTTGCTATGAGATGCTCTCAGCTCCGTACATTAAGCAATTAAGAAAGCAATTACAGCATTTTGAGTCACTTGCCATATTGAGCATACTGGCAAATGAAGTTTCCACTAGAACTGGAATTGCTAGTGATCCAGCCATTCTTACTTCATACTGTTACATGGAAAATCCATGCTAACCCTAAGGCTTGTGGTTTTTACTGGATCGCTCCCTTCTACAGTAAAAGCTCTGTTATCTGGCATCCCCCAGGAATGGGGGATGCCGGATGACAAAATATGCCGGTTAATTGAGCGGCCCAGGCCGCCGCTTCTCCCACCGTGTCTGGGGCATCCTGCCACCCCTCCTGCAGGCCCTGCAGGAAAGGGAGGCGAGCCCCACACAGCCTGTTATGCCCCTGGGCCATGGGTGCTTGGCAGCACAGGCTGCTTTGCCCCGGGCCACGGGGGCTCGGAGAAAACGGAAGTGCCACGGTGGGCACTTCGGTTTCACTTTATCTTACAAGCCGGCATCCTGGTTAATTGAGCATGCCAGCTTGTAAGATGCCAGTTAACAGAACTTTTACTGTACTTAGGTTTCTGTTATAAAAGATGCCTGTTACTTTTTCTAAGAAGTTTTCATGTCTCCACTGTCCACAGCAGGCTTCTGAAAATCTGCAGGAAGAAAAGCTGCAGACTTCAAGAGCAGGTTTTGCTTGTCATATGAAATTCTATTTAGATTTGCCTAAACTCTAAACTTGAAAGTACCATTTCCTTTCTATTACCTGCAATACTCAAAAAAACCTCTGTGTGTCAAAGTGGCAACAGGCTAAGCCCAAACACCACAATAGCACCAGGAGCATAAGCTATATTGGAAACACTTGGGAACTGCTAGGGAAGCCTGAGAAGAAAGGAAGAGGAAGTAAGCTGGAGTAGGCTTCACCTTTGACCACCCCTACAACATATCATATTTTCCCTCCAAGGACAGGGGCTCTCTAATTCCTGGAGGAGTAACCTCTGCATACCCAATACATTCAGTCACCCTGAGGGCACGAACCCTACAACTCCTGGAAAAGAGTGAGGAAAGACCCATGTCTGGGCATCCCACAACCGCTCCTATGGCTTACATGCCCCTGTATTCTTGGTACAATTCACCTCCAGCAGGCTTTGCTTTGCAAATTTGCTGCCCAGCAGGGGGACAGTTTCTGAGCTTCCATGAAGTCCATTTACTATCGTTTCTTTTGACTTAATCCACTTGTTTCAAGCTTTTTTTTTTTCATATTCCAGGAGGACAGTTTTATTATTATTACAACCCCAAATGGCTTAGGGAAAGCAGGTTTTCTGCATGCTAACTTACCTTCTCTCCACTAGAGTAGAAGAAATAACGCAATCGGACAATGTTACAGTGATCCAACTTTCTCATGATCTGGAGCTCTCGGTTCTGAAAGACAAAAAGTAGCAGGAGATTAGGAAACTTTTCCACAGGCTTTCCAGTGGTGGAATGTTACATACATCCTAAAACAGCAATTCCTGAGCTATGAATTATAGGGCCTCCCACCAGCAGCTCATGGCCATAAAATATTTGGCTTTCCACAGGCAAGTGTTTCTTCAGATGAGCAGGGAAGCCAAGAAGTGATGATGGCCACAGAAAGTTATTTCCTCAGGATCATTGCCTAAGGGCCAGAAAATATTGAGGTATACTACCTATTAGATAAAAGTTCATAAAAAGACATGGATTCAGAGATGCATTGGACTGGGAAAGGAGAAGAGGAAAAAAAGTTGGGAGTCTAAGTCAGTAACCCCTTTGCCATAAAAACTGTACATGGATTATGTTTGAGTGACAGAATCATGATACATTGACAAAGCTGTGACTGTCCAAGAAAGATCTTTTCTTGAACCAGCTGCATGGTCAGACAAGCTTTTGAATGCAGGTGACCCAAAGATGAATACACTGCATTCGAAACCTTAAGTCTATCCCAATCATGCACTTGGTTCAGTAAAAATATCACTCACAAAATTCCTTGCTTCTCTCATGTGGATTAGTTTCGCAAATGTTGCTCCTCATTTCACTTCCTTCAATTGCTTAAACCAATATATTAATCTGTACTCTGAATACCTTTCTCCCTTGAACCAGAAAAGGGGAAACAGTTTAAGCTAGTGATGCTCAAGGCTTTTGCCCTGTGGACCAGATGAATGACAGGACCAGTATATGTCCTACATCAGGCCCGCACTGCCCTGTACGCAAAGCTACAGACTCATGGAGGGTCCTATGGACTGAATGACAGTGTGCCGGGAAATGGATCTGGCCCACAAGCCAGGGGTTGAGCACCTGAGGTCTAAGGGGCATAAAGCCAGCAACTTGGGCAATCAGGAAACTGCCCTATTTGCAGGATAATTAATCCTTTTCTACCCCAGCTCAGCCACTGTTAGTGCCCTAAAACTGACAGAGACCTGGTAATTTTAAGGCTGCCCTTACAGGCAAGGTACTTTGAAAAACAATATCATCAGTCTTAATGAAGTGTGAACAACCGGGCACAGGTTAAGAGCTGGCTCTGAGTAACCAAGCCAGGAACATTTAAAAAAAAGGGCAAGAAGCTGCTAGCAGGCCGTTTCCACATGAATGCTTCAATCAGCTTAGCTGTACCACTTAAATCACTAGGATTTGGCAAATGGCTACGGCTATCTGCACTATTTAAATTTCTACCCTTCTTATCCACAAGTAGTTTTGGTGATTTATAGCATATTATTAAACATGGAGGCTAACAATAATCAATTTGGCTCTCAACCACCCAGGGTGCTGCTGAAAGGAGAGGCCACAAAATGCCATCATCAAACTAATTTTCGGCTAGTTTCTTTTGTCACAAATAGGATGCGACAACGACTTCTGTCTGAACAAAGCCAAAGCTTTAAATTCTTTGTACCATAGAATGGCAGTGGTTTCATAATCAAAATGGCAATGGAGTTTTGGAAGGAATTTTTAAAATGTAAATATGGCAACAAAAACAACCTGACTTGATTTTTTCAGGTTGGTTTGGTGCCAGCTGGAGAGATTCACATAACTCACCAAATATGGTAATTAAAAAAAAAAAAAAAAAAAGGGGTATCAGGGTGTCACACTCCTTTAGATTGTTTTGGACAAAAAAATTCAGAGTTTGGCGGATCAGGGTCTTTTGCATCACTGTTTGCTGTAGACAAGTTAAATAAGACAATATCACTCAAACAGCTACCCTCTCTGCTAGCTACTACTGCACAAGTAAACTGAATTGGTAACTTGCACCGATTACCTGTTAGCATTTAATTTTCATTATAATAATTGGCATTTAAGGGGTTAAAGTATGCTGGTAGAGATATGCAGGCAGCTGGTGAATCTGAAAAAGGGTATGCAATAAGAAAGTTTGGGAACCTCTAACCTAGGAAATCTGAAGTTAAAATTTCACCTTGGCAAACAGCTTTAAACTTGGATGTTGGCACAACTGGAAAAACTCTTCAGTTCACTTTGCAATGTAAATTATTTTATATCCCATCTGCAATCAATCTGAAGTGCATAATATAAAATATATTTATTTAGCCCCACAGACATGTATTAGGTCATGCCAAATGCCTACAGTCCCTCCCTCAAAGAGTTTAAAAGGCTGGCAAGAATGGTGGAGGAAGGTAGGGAAGTAGACTAGGGCAGTGATTCCCCAACCTTTTTGGATTCAAGGCACCTCCTTAAAACAGAGGCTGGGCAATAGGGGTGAAGGATTATACAGGTAGGGACAAGCCAGAGCCTAGCTTATCTGCTTAGTTTATCTCCTCATACCACACTTATCTCATACCTCTAGCACCCTTCAAAAGATCTAGTGGCACCCCATCATCCTGGTTGAGAATCACTGGACTAGAGCCTCATTGTGCTTACCCTCATCCTGGGGTGTTTACACAACAAAACAAAACTGGATGAAGGGCTGAAGTAGAGATAAAGGTATAGCACACCAGCAAATGACCATGGCTTTGTTAACTGCATTGTCACTGGTGCCCCATCTCCTCTCTACATCCCTCTGCTTCTCTCTGCCTAAACTAATTAATCTGTGAAAGGAGACAGCAGAGTGTAGCTGCTGCTTTGAAAGCAAAAGATGTTCAAGCTTTTTATGGAAGACTCATCTCTCTGATGTTACACCTGATACTAGCTCTGTATACACATCTAATTTTGAACACCCTCCTCACCCTAAGAAAGCCAGAATTCAACTGACGTACCTCCAAGTGGCATGCAGTGTTTTATCCTGCAAGAAAATTATTTTTGTAGCAAACAGAAAAGTAGGCAAACAAGAAAAATAGGATTGAAAGCTGTGGAGAAGGGAGGGTTAAAGCATTCAGAAAATTTCAATTTGTCAGTTATTTTCCTAATTACTTTGCCTTGTCATATGACCCAAATTGCTTGGTACAGAAACTGTGAACTTGTCCTGCTAACACTCTAATCTCTGACTAACTTCAGAAAAATTCAGGAGGGGAAGAATTTAGTCATGAGATGATTTCACACACTATGGTGCACATGGTGAATGCCTAATATAGGAAGCTTAATAAACCAGAGGATCTTTGGTTTCTGAAGGCAGGGGCAGGGAAGGAACAAGGCAGAAAGCAGGTGTGGAGCAGGTGTCTGAATGAGAGCTGACTTCCTCAATATCTTTCTAGGGCACCGCATATCTAACATGGGTAAGTGAAAAGTGCCTTGTGTAGAATAGGTAAAAGAGTTCAAATCTTCACCGCTTATTCATGTCTCAAATAACCTCTATTAAAACTGACAAAAAGGAACCAATACATGCTATATGGTGTTTGAGAGGCAAATTCATTCATTCCTCCTTCCAGCGGACTGCACTTACCAACCATTTCTCTTTCCGCATCAAACATTAATCATCTGGAATCAATTGTTAGCCGTTACAGACCTAGGTCACATTTGAACCAGACCTAAGTGCGCATGGCTCCATGTCCCATCATTAACTACGAAGACATCTCTGATGACTGGAGTGTCTAATACTTTGTGATAGGCTTTTCAGGTGTTCACACTTCCTATGAAGGACTAGACAGGGAGTTAGATGTCTGGAAATTCAAAGATCTAAAAAATTAAGCTCTGCCAGCAATTCACTGCATGACCCAGGGCAAAAAAATTGTCATCTTTCTCCCAGCAGAAATGTGGATAATGGTACTTTTACTTCAGTGTTGTAGAGGATATTAATCAGTGTTTGCACACAGTTTTCAACCTGGTAACACCCTGCAAGTACTGCCATTCTTTCAGCAGTCTCTTTACTAGTCTTTTTATATACATGCATATTCTAAGCCATGAACAACGCGTGCTCCTGGCAGCTGGGGGAGGCCGCAGCAGGAGCGTGGCGGCAGTGAGCTGTAAGTGGCAGTAAGGGTGGGGGGTGGCAAGCGCCGACCAGGGGTCAAAGACCGCTCGCAGGTGCCGCCAGCCGCAGCAGTGGCGACAGCCAGTGGCAATCACAGACCACCCACAGGCGCCACCAATAGTGTCAGAGGCACCTTTTTGTAACAGGTGCGCTGCCAAGCTCAGGGGGTGCACGTGCACCTGCGTTCAACCCCTACACGTCGCCCCTGTTCCAAATCTAGGCTTAGACAGCTCCTTCTCATTCTCTGTGTGCATGTGTCTGATCAGTGTGTAACCCACTAGAAATCTGGTTATGTTACTCTAACTTGGGGCATTTGTAGACATGTTCCAAGCAGGATGGGCGGCGGGAAGGGGTCGAGCTGCGCTAATTAAAAGTATCCAAGCATCACATGCATCAGCATCCCCACCCTGAAAAAATGGTGGCAAGGCACTTTGAACTAAAGCTCATCCAATGAGCTTTAGTTCAAAGCTCCCTGCCGCCATTTCTCAGCATGGGGACGCTGATACATTTGATGCTGGAAGCTGCTGGAGAGCGGTAATTTCCATGCTTCAATAGAGTTGGTTAAGTCTGCTCTAATCCACTGGATTTACAGCACATCAGAACAACCTCCCTGCGTATGTGTAAGTGCCCCTGGTGCTTAAGTTTTATTACACTTTGTTATCCCATCCCAGGGCAAACACAATCTTTGTACCTTCAATGCCTTCCACTTTTTGCTCCAACTCCTTATTGTTCTAACTCTAACCATATGCTACAGCTCCATGAACAACTCTGTTTATGGGTGGTGATATCAGAGTTAACTCATTGAGCAAACGTGCAGTACAGCTGAAATTTAACATAGAATGTTTCAGGCCAAGTCATTTTAAGAATTTAAATTAAAACTTCAGCTATAATTCTCATGGACAATAATAAAATCAAAAATACAGAAAAAACAGATATAAAATTAGAATGGATTATTGTGACTAGGGTCACTGTGACCAAAGTTACTACCATATTTACCCAAATACAAGATGAGATCCCCCCCCCCCCCCCCCCCCCAAATCAGCATGGGGAAGAAAGC